CGTTTAGAGCTTTTAGGAATCGCCACACTGCTTTCCACAAAGGTTGCACTAGTTTACACTCCCACCAACAGTGTAGGAGTGTTCCCTTTTTGCCACACCCTCTCCAACAACTATTATTTTCTGAGTTATTGATAATTGCCATTCTGACTGGAGTTAGGTGGTATCTCAGTGTGGTTTTGATTTGCATCTCCCTGATGATTAGTGAGGTGGAGCATTGCTTCATGTGTCTATTGGCTGCTCGGATGTCTTCCTTTGAGAAGTGTCTGTTTATATCTTTTGCCCATTTTATAATGGGGTTGTTTGTTTTTTTCTTTTCAGCATGTTTTAGTTCCTTGTAGATCCAAGATGTTAAGCCTTTGTCAGATCTGGAGTTGGCAAATACTTTTTCCCAGTCTGTGGGCTGTCTCCCTGCTCTCTTGATGATTTCTTTGGCTTTGCAGAAGCTTGTCAGTTTAATGAGGTCCCACTTGTCTATCTTATCCCTTACGGCCTGTGGGTTTCGAGTTTTGTTCAGGAATTGGATGCCAGTTCCAATTTTCATGAGGGTGTGTCCTTCATTTTCTAAAGTTCTTATGGTTTGAGGTTTTACATTTAGGTCTCTGATCCATTTGGAGTTTATTTTTGTGTATGGGGATGATAGGGGTCCAGTTTCAATCTTCTGCATGTAGTCAGCCAGTTTTCCCAGCACCATTTACTGAATAGGTTCTCCTTTCCCCAGTGATAGGTGGTGGAGGCTTTGTTGAAGATGAGTTGGTTGAGAAATTGAGGTTTTGCTTCTGGGATCTCAATTCTATTCCATTGATCTATATGCCTGTTCCTATACCAATACCAAGCTGTTTTGATGATTGTAGATTTATAGTAAAGTTTGAAGTCTGGCAATGTGATACCACCTGCTTTGTTTTTTTTGCTGAGGATTGTTCTGGCTATTCTTGGTCGTTTGTGTTTCCATATGAATTCCTGTGTTGTTTTTTCTAGGTCTGAGAAGAATGTTGCTGGTAATTGGATAGGTATCGCATTGAATCTGTAGATTGCCTTAGGTAAGATTGTCCCATACATTATTTAGGATTGTATTGCTAATTTGAAAGGAGTTAAGTTTTTTCCCATTATATTTATTTTAACATTGATTTTTAGTTACTTTCACTATAATCAAATAATATACTCCAAATGATTTCCATTCTTTGAATTTTTTTGCACTTACTTTTATGATGCAGCATATGATCAATTTTGGCAAATGTTTTATGAAGCTATACATTTCTTTTGGTTATTATTAATATTTATGTGGTATATTTTATTTCATTCTGTTTTCCCCATGTGTTTATGCTTCATATTAAAGTAGGTTTTATGTAAGCAATATGTAGGGCATTTTTCTCAGTCTGGAAATGTTTTAAATTAAACTTTTAGTCTCTTTTCACCTAGAGTAATTACATACTTAAGTAATATTTACCATCTTTCTATTTATTTTCTATTTGAACTATCTGATTTATGTTTGATTTTTCTCTTTCTCCAAAAGAGCATTATTTTGGGTTAAAAAAATTACTAGTCAATTTTCTCTTATTTTAGCTTGTTAGTTAAATGCTATTCATCCTTTAATTATTTCTTGATATTAAAACACAAATCTTTGACTTATTATAGTCCAGCACAAATGATTAGTTTTATTATTCTTCCTGTTATGCCAAATTTTTAGAACACTCTAATTCCACTTACTCCCTCCATTTCTTGTGCTATTATTGTCATAATCTTTCCATTTGTTTTAAACCCCACAAGACTTTATTATTATTTTATAATTATTATTAATGTATATTTACACACATAGTTACTCTTTCCTTGAGGTGATTCTCATTCCTTTTTGAATTTTTGTTTCTTCACTTTTATTCTGCCCAAAGAACTTCCTTTATATGATCTCACTTTTTGTTTGTTTGAAGAATTTTTATTTCACATCTTAAAAATTTTCTAATTTTAAGAACTTTTTATTTTGAAATAACTTCGAACTTATAGAAAATTTGAAAGAATAGTACAAAGAAATCCTGTATGATTCATACCTAGACTTATTAATTTTTAACATTTAGTCACATTTACTTTATCATTCTTTCTCTCTATATAACCATATCATTGTTGTTATAATTTTCAGGACCATTTGAGAGTAAATTGCAAATATTGTACTTCTTTATCCTTAATACTTTAGTGACTATCTCCTAAGGGCAAATATATTCCCTTATATAAATAGAGTTATCAAATTCAGGAGATTAAACATTGAAATAATATTTTCATCTAATCTAATATAATCCAATTCATATTCCAATTTTATTTATAGCACCTCTCTCTTCCAGGATTACATATTGTCATAGTTGTTGGGTTTTTTTTTTTAATCTTTTTGCACCCATTATAGATTCTCAGCATTTATTTGTTTTTTCATGACTGATTTTTTTTAAGATTAAAAACTAGTTATTTTATGGAACACTTCTCAGTTTGGGTTTCTTTTATGTTTCTTCATGATTAGATTCAGATTTTACACTTTTGGCTGCAACCATATGTAGATGGTGTATTCTTAGGATTTCACCTCTTGAAATACATTGTGTCTATATGCTCCTAACTGGTTATGTTAATGGTGATGGCTTGGTTAGGATGTTGTCCAGTTTTTCCAGTGTACTGTTTTTTATTTTTGTAATCAGTGAATACCTTGTGGATAGATACTGCTTGCAACTACATAAATATTTTGTTCCAGATCAAACTCACTCCCTGTATCAATTAGAATCCAGTCAGGAGACAGAACACACCAGTAATTTGAACAAGAAAAATTCAACATAAAAATTATTAACTAGTAAAAGTGAGTATCAAAAGCGATGAAAACTCTAAGAGGTCCAGAAACAACAAGTTGGGAAAACAAAACAAAACAAAAAATCAGAATAAAAAATGGCTGCTACACCTAGACTGAAGAAGAGTACAAGATTGAAGGGACTAAAGATTTAGGAGTTACATTCCTCCCTTTCCTTGCTCCTGACCAAAAAAGGAAAAAAGAATAAAAACGTTTGAGATTCAGACTTTTTCAAAGAGAGTGGGACTCACAGGAAGGTACAGGTCTACCAGCAGGCCCAAGCCGGAGCTTGCATAGACATGGTCACTGTGGGGGACAATATTGTCTGAGGATTTGGCCTGGGTTGATCTGCAGAAGTGGCTGTTAGGTGGGAGAATGTGGCCCGAGCGTGTGGCTAGTGTTGATCCATTGAGGTCAGTTGAGGTGAGTGCCACTGGCCCTTCCGCACACCAATTCACTGGCTCTCAAGCTGAATAATGAAGGGCTGAAGCCAGCAACAGAGGTACCTTCCTGCTGCCATCACATTACCCCTTAATTGACAGAACCTCACATTGTGCTGTTGAACCCAGAACTCTAATCAGAGAGAGAGAGAGAGAGAGACCACAAAGAGCCAGCTCCGATGCAAACACACGAGGGTCTTTATTCAGGCTCGAGTCTGGGCTCACGCATGAAGCCGGTAGAGGCTTCATGAACCAGAGCGTTGATCCAGTATGGCAAGCAGTTTTTATGCACAATTACAGAGGGAAGGGAACGAACTTTAAACTTGATTTTACATGATTGGGTAATTTCTCCTAATGGGTACTGGAACACTTGGTATTGGTAGGTGCCTCTCGTGGGCTGTAACCTGACTGCCCGTGATTGACAGAAACCCACTTAACGGGCAGAGTGGAATGTCAGATAAGTTAGGTTCACTGCGTATAAAGTAACCTGAGCAACCTGGAGGTTACATTAGCCATTAAGTTTGCTGATTCACCCCGAGGAATACTTAGGGAAGCTTGTTTGCTTAACATTTACATAACATAACATGGTCATTATGGGACACAAAAGCCAAACTTAACAAAGTTTTAAATATGAATGCTGCAAACACATACAGTAATGTGGGGTAGAAATTCATATAGTACTAGTTCTGGGAATTTATAAAATATCACAAATGTCTTATAGCAAGGCGGTTTTTGTAAAGGTCTTTGATTCCTTCAGGTTTACATAGCCACTGCATGTAAATTAACACCGGCATGGAGGTCGGTGATTTAAATCAACATAAAGCCCACCTAGAGAGCAGCTAGCGCCTCAGAGTCTACTGCGGTAGCAAAGGAATGTCTGAAAGGGGCTTATCGCTTTAACATTTACATCCCGTTGTAAAAGCAGAAGTCAGCATGGCAATTGGGACTGACAATGCTTAACCCAAGAGTTCTAAATACAAACACTACTTAAGCCATTATAACTACACAATCAGTCACTACCCGGTACCCGACATATGCCTAATTCTACGGGGTCTGAGGTAGGACTTAAAGTACTAAGATTTCATAAAGTACAATGAACATGAGGTAGGAATACACAAAATATATAGTAAACATGAGGTAGGGATATATGAAATATAGTGAACTAAACACTACTTTTACAGCAAGTATGGCTTTTTAAGTTTCTTGGTTTCTTGGGTCTCTCAATAGCATGCTCTTAACCTAAGTCTATCACTCAGCACCAGCTGGCAAGGTCAGTAATGTTTACAGGGTCTGAGGAGAGGCATGTAGTACATTCAGATAACTGTTTTTGAGGCAGAGGCTCATCTCCAAGAGACTTGAGGGCTGGGGCTGATGTGGTATAAATTGATTGTTGCTAGACATGTGAGTGACCAGTTTTCTACTGACGATTGGGGAGTGAGAGCGATAGATTACATATATGCATTTTACATGTTATTGGCTGCCGAGGCATTGTGTTGGAAGCATCATATACATTGCTTCTATTCTCCATAAAAATTCTGAGAGGTGAGTATTATTAGCCTCATTTGCAGATGAGGAGACTGAGCCTCAGAGAGGTTAAATAACTTGTTCAAGATCAAGATTAAACAGCAAATGAGTAGTGTGGTCAGAATTAAAATCCTAGCCTGTATGCTGGTTCAGCTGGCATTCTTGCCAGGCTACCCTACTTTAGATTACATTAATATAAATGTGATTTTCTTATAGGTCCTACCATGTGGATGCTTCCAGGGCAAAACCAAAGCTGGGTTTCTGAATTTATCCTGCTTGGCTTCTCCAGTGACCCCACATCCAACTGGATCCTTTTCATTGCCTTCCTTCTCCTCTACCTGAGCTCAGTCTTGGGCAATGGGCTCATTGTCATCCTGATCTGCCTGGATACACATCTCCACACTCCAATGTACTTCTTCCTCTGTATCCTCTCCCTGCTGGATATGGGCTGTGTCACCACCACCGTGCCACAGATGTTGGTGCATCTTCTCTCTCATTCTCAAACCATCACCTTTGCTGGCTGTTGGTTACAGATGTATGTGTTTGGTGCCCTGGGACTGACTGAGTGCATATTCTTTGTAGTCATGGCTTATGACCGATATGTAGCCATTTGCTACCCACTGCGTTATACTGTCATCCTCAGTTGGGGCCTCTGTACACAGTTGGCAGTTGGGACATGGATCTGTGGTTTCTTCTTCTCTCTGATCCATACCTACCTCACCATGAGGCTGCCATATTGTGGGCCCAACATAGTCAACCACTACTTCTGTGAAGGTCCCATAGTACGGAGCTTGGCTTGTTTGGACACCCACCTCATTGAGATGGTGGACCTGGTCATCAGTGTCTTTATGGTTGTTACCCCACTCTCTCTCATTCTGGCCTCCTATATTCGTATTGCCCTGGCCATCCTCAAGATCAAATCCATCCAGGGTCGCTGCAAGGCTTTCTCTAGCTGTGCCTCCCACTTGACAGTGGTCACATTTTTCTATGTTCCAGCTACTTACATCTATATGAGGCCCAACTCCAGCTATTCCCCTGAGCGAGACAAGCAGATCTCACTTTTTTACAACGTCTTCACTACCCTGCTCAACCCTGTGGTCTATAGTCTTAGAAACAAGGACATTAAGGGAGCTTTTCTCAAGGTGATGGGGCATAGAGTGGCCTGGTGAATGAGGAACCAGGAGAGGTCTGGGGCAGAATGTCCAATGTTGAAGAAGGGGACAATAGCTGTAATGTAGGCAACCAACATTGTACATTTGAATCAACATAGTACTTAGTTACTGAAACAAATATGCATGAGACCAACACAGCTGTCTTGATAAACTTGTCACACTATTGTTCAGTAACTAACAAGCCCTTAATCTCAGTGGCTTACAACTGCAAAAGTTCATTTATTTCCTGTGTTTCACATTAGTTGTAGGTTGGCTGTGGTCTTCTGCAGTCTCAGATCCACCTTGAAAGAGGAGTCCTTATCTGGAACATGCCATTCTTGTGACAGAGGGAAAGGAACAATGGCTAAAACACATAATAATTACTAAAGACTGTCAGAAGAGACACACATCTCTTTGCTCACATCCCACTGGCCAAAGCAAGTCACATGATCAGGTAACAACAAAGAGGCAGGAAGTATTTTCTTCCCACAGAGATGTGGGTCACATGGCAAGAGGTAGGCATGTGTAATTTCTCTACAGGAAGGGCAACAAATAACAGAGATAATAATATAATCTACTATAATATCACAAAAACCAACAGAATGCATGTAACCAACATGGAACTTGGTAACTGTAAGTGACATGGCACATGGATCGTACAGGGCCAAGGTTATATAAAAGTAGTACATGTCAACAATATCTCTTGTCAACATTGAAAATAAAGCCAATGGTATGTGGAAACAATATAGCCCATGGGTCTGGCTTGATGCATAGTATCAATGTAGTTCATGGGGCTAACATGGTATATTCTGCATTGTGTAGTGGAAGGACACAGAACTTGATGTTAAGTGATCTGATTTCTTGTCTGAACCTTACTAGCTTACAGTGTGTGTGACTTTAGGCAATTTGCTTTCTCTTTCTGAATCTCACTTTATTAATCTATAAAACTAGCACTGAATGTAATGTTTTCCAAGCCTCTTATGAATCTAAATTCTATGCTAGGGCAGGTGAGTGGTCATGGTGTACGAAACTCAAATGCAATAATTTGTGAATGTCTGTGAGCCATAACAGAAATAAAAAAATTAGAAGAATAAGAGTTTCTTTAAACCATAATGGGCAGTGCATATAGCAATGACTCATCCTTTTGATGGACTTAAATGACTGATGGGGCTTTTTAAGAATCTTGACACAAGCCTCAGAGTTAGCACGCACATCCAACTCCCTTTCAGGCCTCATCGGTACCCCAGAGGTCTCAGGAATGAGTCAAATTCAGTTTCACTACTTCTTGGGTATCCATTATGGTCCAGCTAGTATCAGGTTCTGTGGAATAAGAGAAATACATGGAGAGATATATAGTCATGACATTATAATACCACAACTCAAGAAGATGCTACAGTGACCTGTGGGAACTGATAGCCTCATGAATGTGAGGTTCTCTGAGTTGGGTGGCTGATGCAAAAGACCAGGTAACACCTCACCCCACTCCTATCTACCACTGTGTACCTCAACATTTTTTAGGTCTCCACAAGAGGGAGAGAATGCTATAGACTGTGTCTCCCCCTGAACTGTGTTTCCCCAAAATTTGTATGTTGACCATGCTGGCAACCTGAACTTGACCATGCTGGCAACCAGAACTGACCATGCTGGCAACCTGATCTCAGACTTTCAGCCTCCATAACTATGAGAAAATAAATTTAGAATGTTTATGTCACCCAGTGATGTTACTTTGTTATGACAGCCTAAGCTGACTAATATAGATTTTGGTACCAGGAGTCGGGTACTGCTGTAACAGATACCTAAACGTGTTGAAGCATCTTTGGAACTGGGTAATGGGTAGAGGCTAGAAGAGTTTTTGAGGTGTATGGTAGAAATACAGATGTTAAAGGTGATTCTTGTGAGATCTCAGATACAAATGAGAAGTGTGTTATTGGAAACTGGAGGAAAGGTGATCCTTCCTATAAAATGACAAAGAACTTGGCTGAACAGTGTTTTAGTGTTTTTTGGAAGGAAATTGCAAGCAATGAAATTGTTGATTTAGCTGAGAAGTCTCAGCCAAATGTTAAAAGAATGGCTTGGTTCCTACTCTTACTGACTGCTTTTAGTGAAATGTAAAAAGAGAGAGATTAATTGAAACAGGAAGTTATAAGCAAAAGGGAATCAGATTTTGAATATTTGGAAAAGTATCAGCTTATCCATATTAAAAAGTGTTCTGAATAAAACACTAAGGATGTGCTGAGCAACCATTTGATAATGACATCATGGGTGAAACTCATGGACCTAATTAATCATATCAGCAGAACCTAGGGATAGGGATGGGATTATATCCGTAGATGTTGCCACTTTTATTTTATTTTATTTTATTTTGTTTTAGAGTTGTAGGGTACATGAGAGGATTTGCTACATAAGTAAATTGCATGAAAATGAGGTTTGGTCTTCTAGCAAACCCTCCTCCTCCTGATTGTGGACCTGGTACCCAGTGTGCAGTCTGTGCTCCATATCCTTCCTCATTCCTTCCCTGTTTTAGCAGTGTCCAGTGTCTGTTATTCCCATCTTTGTGTTTGAGTGTCCAGTGATCAATGCCTGCTTATGAGTGAGAACGTGAGGTATTCAATTTTTTGTTTCTGTGATTGTTCATTAAGAATGATGGTCTCCAGCTGCATCCATGTGGCTGCAAGGGACATGATTTCATCCTTATTTATGGCTACATAATATTCCATCATGTATATATACCACATTTTCTTTATCCAGTCCACTTTTGATGGGCAACTGGGTTGGTTCCATGTTTTTACTATTGTGAATAGTGCTGCAGTGAACATATAAGTGCAGGTATACTTTTGGTAGAGTGATTTATACTTCTCTGGATATATTCCCAAAAATGGATTGTATGGTAGCTAAATTTTTAGTTCTTTGAGAAAACACCATATGCTTTTCACAAAGGTTGAACTAGCTTACATTCCCACCAACAGTGTAGAAGCATTCCCTTTTCACTGCAGCCTAGCCAACTCCTGTTTTTGTATGTTTGTTTTTACTTTTTCATGATAAAGATGCCATTTTGAACTAAAGGTGACAGAGATAAGAGAAAGTAGGTTGGAACAAAGGAAGGTTTTTGGGTTCTACAGAACTAGATCATAGAGCTGTTTGACGGGAAATGGAAAAATGACGACAAAGATGATTCAGAGATCATCAGGGTTGCCTCTCCCACCACAAGCCCAGGGGGACAAAGCTGTTTTTTCCAGGGGGGAAGTTTATTTTAAAGGGTGGGGCCACCTTTCTGGTATCAGAGGGCCAGGATGACCCCACCCAGTGCCTCAGGGATAGGACCACTATGCAGAGAGCCAACCGTGTGGGGCTGCCCTGCAGAACTGTAGGGTTGACACTGCTACCACCTATGGACCAGGAGGGCAGAGTATTGAACCCAAGAGGATTATTCCTGAGCCTTGGAGGAGTTTGGAACCCATCACCCCCTTTCTTTCTTCCAATTGCTCTCTTTTGGAATGGAAATGTCTATCCTATGCTTGTCTACCATTGCATTCTGAAAGTACATAATTTGTCTAGCTTCACTAGCTGGATGAATTGTACCTCAAGTTTCACCCATATCTGATTTCAATGATATTCAAATGAGACTTTGGACCTTAGACTTTAAAGTTGGTGCTGGGATGAGTTAAAACTTTTAGGGGTTGTTTGGATATAATGAATGTATTTTGCATGTGATAGGGACATGGATTTTAGAAGTCAATGGATATAATGCTATGAGCTGAATTGTGTCCACATAGTATTTATATATTGAAGCCCTAATCCCCATGCAACTGTATCTGGACTAAAGAAATAAGTAAGATTAAAAGAGATTATGAGGGTGGGGCCCCCAACTGACAAGATCCGTGTTCTTACAAGAAGAGACTCCAGAAGGAGGGAGGGGGAAGAGAGGGAATAGGGAGGATCAAATTAATCCATATTTATTAAAGTATTCTAAATTAGTTCTAGAAAGGCTGAGGCAGGGCAGCTAGTACAGGTTAGACATAGATAGATACATTTCTTGCAGGCAGGTTTTAGAAAAGTGTCCAGACATCTTGCTGGAAGGTCAAACCTCCCTGTGGGCTGAAATGTGAATTCACTGTGGATTTCCAGTCCTCTGCACCCCCTCGGCTTGCCAAAGGAAAATTCCATTAAGGTGGTTCCTGGACCAAGAATCAAAAGCTATAGAAATGACAATAAGACCACCTTTTAGCTCGTGAAATTGTGTATTTGGAAATCTGACAAGTCTCCTACAAAGGCAAAATGTATGTTCTGGAAAAGACCACCTCTCCTCATCTATCAGAAGTGGAGAAATGGCATTCTTTCCAGAGTGGCAGTTACCTGTGCTCCACCCTCATTAGCGCATCAATAACTAGGTAGCTATATCTACCTTTTGTTAAAAAGAAAATCACAGTCTTTCTTCAAGACACCCAGGCCAAGCATGTTCTATATTTCTCTTCTTTTCTTTCCCCAATAAACTCTGTTTTAAAACTTTGCTGGCCACTCTGAAAATTATTTCAGGATCAAGTCAAAGAGACCACAAGTTTTGTGCCTTACCCCACCTGGCATCAGGACTGGGGAAATCTGCTAGAGGAGGAAGGGGCACACCTCATCAGCAAGGGTACCTGCATGATCAATGTTTATATACCTAACCCTGAAATGTACCCCACGTCTTTATAATAATAAATAAATAAATAAATTATATATATATATATACATATATATGTGTGTATATATATTATTTATTTAGTTCCCATTTATTTAGTTCCCATTCTTCTTTATATATATGTGTGTCTGTATATATATATGTGTGTGTCTGTATATATATATGTGTGTGCCTGTATATATATATATAAAATGAAGAATGGGAACTAAAGTTAACCATAGCTAACTATAAGATCTGACCCATGATGACTTTTCCTCTGCAATCCTTGGACCTGTTTGAGTTAAGGAAGAATGAAAGAATATGGAAGGATGTTAGCCTGAATAGCTTGTTACTATCCAAT